AGCTGGGTGAACTAATATTTCATGGTAAATGTGTGTGTGTGTGTGTGTGTGTGTGTGTGGGGGGGGGGGTGTCCAAATGAATATTTTTTAAATGTGAGGGGGACACGTCCCCATCACCTATAATTGCAGCGACGCCTATAGTGGACCCACATTTCAATTAACCTATAACACTACTGGAGTAAACTCTTTCCAGCTGCAATGTTTGATATATCCTGATGCATGCTCAATGCAATGTTTGATATATCCTGATGCATGCTCAATGCAATGTTTGATATATCCTGATGCATGCTCAATGCAATGTTTGATATAGTTTAAGATGAACTTTTGACCGTTTGAGTTCATACTTTTAGGTGGAATTTGAACATTGAGTAAACAACGATGGCAGCAGCAGCTAGTTTTAAACGAAAAACAAGGCAGAGGCTAAAATCGTGCAATTGCTTCAGAGTTTGCAAACATCTCCACATCTCAGTGAACCTAAAGAACATATGTAAGGCAGCTTTTTTTTTTTTTTTTTTTCAGGCATGCACAAGTGCAAAGATGAAGAGATAATTCAGCTCTGGTGCTGTACACGTAGGGGCAGGCACAATTTCTTCATTTCACCAGCGTTGCTAGGACGACCTGGAAAAAATAGGTTGAGATGCAGGCTGCAGATAAAGAGGTAGATGAGGAGTGAAGGCACACAAAGTGAGAACGCTGAAGGAGGCAGGAGCAGATCTACTTTGTTTCCTAACCTGGGCAGCCGGGGTAAAAAGTGTGTTAAAAGTGGTGCACTACAGCACTCTCACATGTGGGTTATACTGCAGAGCGTCCACATGTGTGTTACAGCTGTGCACTGAAGGGGCGTTGAAAAAGAAGCAGCTACATTTCTGTAACTGCTTCTTTTACCTAAATACCATGCAGACAGTAGCAACAGTGATGGAGTAATTATGATATGCAATGTTTTATTTCAACCTATTCTGCACTGAGTTTGGCTTTATTTGTCGCTCACCGCTGAAGGTGAAACTCTTAGTTAATATCTCACGGACCACTGAACAAATTCAATGAAACTTTCTGAAAGTAATCACTGGATGTACATCTACCACTGATTACCTTCTAGAGTCAACTTGATTCAAGAGTACTGCCGCAGCAAAGCCAAATATCAAGTTCAAGGTTCTTTATTGTCATTCGCATCACATGTGGTACATGCGGTGGAACAAAATTATGTACTCAAGGTCCCAGTTACACCCAAAAATAGCAAAAATATAAAATATAAAAAGAATCAGCATACAAGGATCTAAGATATACAAAGTACACTAAGACAAATGCTAAACGAACACTAAACAATATGCTAAAAGATCTAAGATATACATTAAACACTAATAATGTAAGATAATATGGTATATTAAACAGCAGCCCAATTTATAATTTACAGATGACTACACATCTGTAAATTGTAAAGAAGTTGAGCTTGATAGTAGCTGAGAATCGTTAAAAACACTAAGTGCTAACACACCAAGACCACTCAAGAAGTTTCATGGCTTTGAACAAAACGGCTCTAACTTTTTCATTTTCAATATAAAATGATTTTAATTTAAAACTCTACAACGAGAGGCTTTGAACACGTCACATCCCTTCAAGAAATGCTAGGCCTCTAATTACTTGACGTGTCTGTCTCGTTAAAGTCTGAAAACATTTTTTTCCACAGTTGGAAGTCTTACCGGTGTATCCTGCCAGCGCAGCTGCAGGGATGACTGGTTTGTCCTTGCTGAGGTCGGAGCGCTCCCTCACGTAGTCCTTGAAGGTGCCCTTGGGCTTGTGTCCGTGCAGGGCGGCGGGGTAGTCCTCGGAATCAAAGCTGTCGTACGACGGTACTCGCTGCAGGCTGCTGAACGAGGACTGGCTGCTCCATGACTGGGTCAGCCGGTCGCAGCTCTCGAAGCTGTCGATGCTTTCAAACGAGTCCTGGCCCCCGAGCTTACCTGACAGGAAATATACGGAGAAAAATTACATTTTAATTTGCAAGAATGTAAATGAAAAACACTTCTTATCACAAGTCACCCACCACAGAGGGCAAAAGGGTGACGATGTTTTTGTCTGTTTGTGTGTGTTAAGTTTGTCAACGCATCTCTAAGTCAGTTTTACCGATACTGAACTGGGGTTTGGTGTGGTAGTAGCTGAGAGTCCACCTAAACACATGCTTTGAGCTCTAACGGATCTGACATTATGGTATGAGATAATGCAGAACGTCATTTACAAGATTTGACCAAAGCAGCTGGAGCTCCATCTCTCCTCATCATGAAACAATCTTTTTCTAAAGTTCTGGCATTCAGACAGTGATGTGTACATCTTCCGAGAACGCTAGGCCTTAAATTGTATTTGTTATATTTAATTTACGTACTCAAACGAAAGAATTACAGAAACGTCAGCGTGAACGAACCCCGTAGTTTGACACAACTACATTCGCAGTGACAGTGTTTTGTTTGTTTTTCCTCTAAGCTGAATCATTCTGCGCCGACTCCCGTCTCCCCATTTCACACCTCATTTGATTTTTACAACCACCATTTGAATTCGATGCTAAATGGAAAACAATCACGCAAATTGTCTTTGCTATTTCTGGCCCTGGGAAAGATAAGCAGGCTCTTTGAACGTTAAGTCATTAACAAATGACAGATAATGCTGCGCCTCCACTGACGCTGATGTCTTCAGCTGCTCCGATTGAAACCACATGTGTGTGTCAGTCCAACTCCAAAGTACTTTCCCATGTCGACAGAGTCCAACACCACGCTCGCGAGCCTGGTATGCACGTTGCGTGACGATTGGACCTTAAATCTTGCAGAGAAACTCTGAGAGCACGGTGTACAGTGCAGAGCACATGCTCTTCATTTCTGCAGCAGGGGATTTGGGAGAAAAGCCTCGCTCTGTGGGCATAAATGTAAACCATGCTGCTCCTCTGTTCTAAACAATGACTGGAAGAAAAACAAAAAACAACAGCAACAAAGCATTTCATGAGAAAGTCCCATGCTTGCAAACTGAGATGACACCTCTGTCTTCTTACCCAGAACGCAGAGGTTGAGTTGAGGAAAAGGAGGCCACGAAAAATGAAAGAAAAAAAAAAAAAAGCACTTTAAGGTTAAACCACTCAAACTGTTTTACATAAAGGACAAGGCGGTAAGAAAAGAACACATTGTGGTTTTGTTTCGTGTAGCGCACTGACAAAAACAATACGTTTTTTTTTTTTTTTTCCAGTCTAGTCTTGAGCATGTGAGGAGTTTTGCTCAAACCACAAACCAACTAGAGGGCCTGCTTATCTTCTCTTCTAAACATGTACACTGATATGGCATGACAAGATTCTAGTAGCTTCAGCGCAATCACATGCAGGCAACACACACACACCTCACACAGGGGTGGGCGATATGGCTTAAATATAATATTGTGATATTTCAGAGCATTCTGAAGATAACGATACATTTTGTGCTGTAACAAAATAAAAACATAGTTATTCATTTGACAAAATTAATTTAACATGTTACTTTGCAGTATTATATATATAAAAAAAAACAAAAAAAACAACTAGGGTTAATTTTAGTGCAATTACTTTTTTTAGTAACGTAATCAGTCTCAAAATAAAAAATAAAAATGATTCTTCTGTTGTTTAGATTGAAAACGCTTGCACAAAATATACATGAACAATATCTACCACAAAACTAAAGTGCAGGTGCAGTTTCCCAAAATAACGAAATAAAATGAAGCTTAAGACTTGTTGAGCAAAAATGTAACATACATCAAAATATATGTTGCCTTTAAATGAGCTATAACTTCCACAAGTTGTGACGAGGTGATCAGCTGACCCTGAAGCTTGTGGTGTTTCAGCTTCCTCTGTTCCTGCAGGAATGATTCAGTTTCTCTGATGCTCAGCGTGAGGGAAGAGGCAGCGTGAGCGATACCTTTAGCTTTTCAGCTAGCTAGTATTGCGCGTGGCTAGCTTAGCGTTACACCAGTACCGGTGGGGTTGCGCAGTTTGATTCGGTAGTTTGGCGCGCCCGGTTCTGTTAACGGGGCGTGGCGCCGCACTTGTATAATGGTAGGGGGAAATACTGACATATTTATGTCATGAAATTAACATATCATGGTATATCCCTGGCTTTCAACACTGTATGATTTGTGTTGATCCTGTATGCATCACAACGTGTTAGTCATTATATTATTATCTGCTATTATTTTGTTTCTATATTTTGATTTTACGTTATGTTATGTTGCTGTGTGCTTTGCCTGTTGTTTCTGTTTGCACAGCACTTTGGTTGGCCCTGTCGCTGTTTAAAGTGCTTAATGTCCAGAGGACCAGACTTAACTTTTTTAGATGTTTCTACCTGGATTGAGTATGCATCAAGATATATCATGATATATAATTTACAAAGTACTTTGTATTTTCCTGGGCAAGTTTTTTTTTTTTTTACCAGTATTATCATGAACTATATGATATGGCCCAGCCCTACCTCACACCAACACACACATTAAGATAAAAAAAAAAACCATGCTTTAAAGTTGGATCAATGAAATATTTTGTGCGCAAAGGCAGCACTTTGCTTTTACTGAGATTTTTCCAGACAAATCCTACAATTGTATAAAAGTTAGCATCACTCTTCAATTGCTTGCATGACGTCTCACCTCTGCTCAGGCGTCCCACACACATGTTGTCGGGGGACACCACTTCCTGTTTGACTGAAAAGTAGTCGCCCTGCATGGAGTTCAGGGCTGTGTCCCGCAGGATGACCCCGGGGTACTCGCTCTCGTACTTCAACGTCAGCAGTTCCTCAGAGCTGATGGGATGAAGCGTCTGGTAGGACTCTGTGATGAAGCCGGGCTCCGAGTACTCGGAGGGAGGGACGCACTGAGCGTGCTCAATGCCGTAGCCTGGAAACACACGAGGAAAATGACGTGGATAAAAGGCAGGAGTGAAGTGGAAACTGGCAAACGTGTTTCAGTCTTAGTGAGGAGTAATTATCTCTCGCATGCTAACCTGCTGCTCAGGTTGAAGGCTGTTAATAACACAATCAATGGCTGGATAAATAAAATGTCTTCCCACATTTAAAGGGAAAGTTTAGATATGTGAAGTGGGATTCTGCAGAAAGGTAATAAACAGTCAAAACATGTGTTAGGTTGCCTTCAGGTTCAGGCCTCCATTGCAAAAGAGACATGTTGTCAGTGGGATATGCCTGCTTAAATAAAGTTTAATATAAATAAATAAAATAAAATAAAAAACATCTAAATTGTAGTAGATAGCCTTTTGACTAACTTTTGGACAAATAGTTTAAATCTGAGCAGATCAGATGAGCTATTCTAAAACTACTCAGATCTCAGAGTTCATGGAAAAACTTTGTATAAAGTTATTTTGTGTAAAATCTGCCACATTTTGTAAATATCCACATTCTGCCTGTGTATTTCAATTTCACAGTTTTGGATGAGCATCCTGAGCTCACAGCTGCCTCCTGGTTTATTCACTAACCTGACGAAGGCAGATAATCAGCATGAACTGATAATTGTGTATTTATTGCACCGCAGCCCTCTGGGTTGTAACTAAATGGAGTTGTGAGGATCCTTGAGAAGTATTACACTGATTTTTTTTCAGTTAAACAGCCTGTTGTTGTTGACAACATGAAGCCAGTCTGCACTTTCATTCATGCGTTGAGTGTGTGACCTCGGCCGTCAGACAGTGTGCCTGCCGTGAGTACTTACTGACAAAATAGTCTGAGGTATAGCGGGATTCCTGGAAGTTGGAGGTCAGTCCATTGATGGGGTAATGCTTTGTATCCTCTTCATAAAAAATGGATAGAGAGTGAGCGTCAGTGACCTCATCATTGATTTTGTTTTCTATCATGTAACTGCATCCAGCTCTATCAAAAATTAATGACTTGGACCAAAACGTGCCTTCCTGTTCAGCTCCGGTTACTCCGGTCATTGCTATAAAATCCTCACTAGGTATACGTACCGAGATTCTTCATTCATCCGTTTATAAAATACATAAAACAATACTTTTAAGTTTAGTTTTGGTCTTACCTTTCTGAAGCGTTTCTAAATGCTCCCAAAGAATGTCACCAACGAAGTCGGGAGCTAAATCCAAGAAGCGCTCCTTCCCCATGGCACACAGGTTGGCTCCGTCCATGGTGAACTTTTCAAAAGCTACGTTCTTCAGGCTGAACTCGTTCACCGTCCACATCAGCCACTCAGCCACATGTTTCTTTGTCCACTGTCTGGGATCTGCAGGCCAACAAAACCCCTGATGTTAGGATTACCTGGACATGCCGCAGTGCATTTACGCTGCTTGTGCATGTTCTTTTAGACATGTATGTAAACTTGTGTTTGAGATGTCTGCTCACTAGATTTCAGCACCTGGCGCAAACTGCCACACGGCAGCGAACAAGGAGCGGGAGGAATTATTAACCGAACTCAGATTACGAGGTGATATCGTCAGTTGGGCTGTTTGCAGACATGCGCATGAGCCTGCACATGCCTCGCTCATTACAATTTGATTTTCTCATACTAACAGGCATGGAGCACAACACAAGCAGCTGACAGGAGCACCTTTGGGGATTCCCAGCCGCTGCTGCTCCTTTGTGAAGCCGCTGAAGGTGGCCATCACAGCGTCGGCCATCATCTGTTTACTTCCCGGAGTCAACTGAGGAACGTCTCCAAACTCCAGATCTGCAGCACAAAAACGACAAATAATTGTCAGTGTTTGGTTAGTGTTGGCAACATTTATGTATTTATCGATTTAAAATGTGGGATGCGAACATCAAAATGTGATTCGGAAAAAACGCTGCTAAAATGAACGTGATCAAACTTACAGAATGGAAAATTAGACTGAGACTGCTGAGGGTGAGACTCGGTCAGTAATTCACACAGATACACGTGTGTACACACAAACTTTATACATATTATAATCAGCAATATTTTACAGTTCATTTTGGACAGTGTAGACAAATGAACAAGTCCCCCTGTTGGTTTACGCTCATGCTCAGTGTTTAGTGCGGCCCTTTTTAGGCAATAGCAAACGTTTTTTTGTTTTTTTGCCAAAACAGACCCACAGGTTTACACACAAACACTTTAAACCCTGCACTCTCATCTAACTGCACCTCCTGGGTGGGAGAGCAATGCCTGGTGCCCAGCAGTGACACTGTGACCCCTCCTAGCCTCCCTACAATGCCCCCCCCTCTAAACACAGGGCCTACTGTCACTAGCCCAAGCATGGGGTCAAACACTCTGCCATGTCAAGGGTCAAAGGATGGAGGTGATGATGTCACAGCGGCTGCCGGCGGGTGGCTTTGAGCGTTAGGGGGGTTTGGGCTGTCTCGAGCGTTTCAGTGACACACTAGGTTTACTGTTTCTTTGTTGGCTGCCAGTGGGCACCCAGCAGGGAACAGAGATCCCTTTGAAGGCTTTAAACAGAGCCTGATGACTTGCACTCATCTCATTAGACGGGCCGAGCTGTGGGACAGGAGGGCCGAGAGGCACATGAGGCTGCTAAAAAGACAGCACATGTATGCAGACGCACAGAAGCCTCATTAACAGGCATGCTTTTAATCATCCATTCTGCATCAGAACTGCATGAATTCACACAACAAACACCCACACCGGATCACATGGTATTGTGGGGGTGTCAGTACATGCACAAGAGAGGTTCACGTAGGTCTCCCTATCTTTCCTGACTGTCAAAAGCAGCAATGACCAAATCACAGGGAAAAGTTGTGCCACTCCCCAGAAGAGCAGCAGCATTCGTCACGTCCCCAGATGTGCTGACATCTGCACCGGCTGGTGGTTTTTATCTGCCAGTGGTACAGTGGGGTAGAATTCAGCTCATGCTTGTTTTCACCACTTACTAACGCCTCGACCTCGTCTGGAATGCACAGCAGCTGTCCCTCCTTCGCCAGTGGAACCAGTGTCTGTCTGGCTGTTTGTAAAATTAGCTCCCAGAGTTTCTGTTTCTTTCCCTGGTTCTTTTTTTTTTTCTTGTTCTTCCTGAATGAGAAGTCTCACAACAGACTTGGGACATAACACAACAGGTCTTTGCGTTATCTGTGTTTGTATTTAATGACTTGTGTAGTGGCATCTTCTCATTTTGCTGTCTTGTAAACCGGTGAACAAACAGAAAGTAAAGAATTCTAGTCAGAGGAACAGCTTAGACTAAAACAATGTTTTGCAGTTTTACACAAAATACCTTGTTGGCTGTTATCGGCTCACACACTGAAATTCATTCACTATAAAAAAAAAAAAGACATAACCCGTGAAGTTCTCTGTGTTCAGCCGTTTCTCTTCTCCTGTGCTAAGTTTCACCGCTCGTGTTGCAAACAGCTGCAAACTCTAAGATGGGTCCAAGGCTCAGACTGTCTGCGCTTTGATGTGAAGACAGAGGCAAAATGTGGCCATTTGTTTAAGCTGGATCGAGTGGAGTTTGTCTGCACTTTCCAACCATTTACCCCCCTCTTCCCTCCCCACGGCTTTTATCAACCCAGCCCCTGCGTATACTCGCCCACACAGACTTGAACCCACCTTAGCACTAAATCCTCCATCAAAGACGTTTCAGCACCACAGTGCATAAGAACTAGCATTAGGCACATTCAAAAGAAAAGTGTGAACTATGATTAAAGGCCAAATGAAATCATGAACTGCAACTTGTATTTTTGTGTTTGTTGGGATTACTTTCTTGCAGTAAGTCAAAGTAAGTAGGGAATGTTAGTTTTGTTTTATATATGTTGTGTATTTTATGTATGTACACTGCCATTATCGTTAAATCTTAAAAACATCAAGCAGAGAGCACAGCTATGTTGAAAAGCAAATTGTAAAAGTTAAAGTGGAGTGATAATAGAGCAGTCTCCACAGTGAATGATCCATATGAAAGTTATCTGTGGCAGTGCTAATGTACAATGTGCATCCATTAGCCAGAGAGGCATGCTCAGATCAAGACCATCCCCAGTAAATGATGAAGTCCTGATATGATTTCAATGCCTGCGAGTCCCATTAGATGCAGAATGGTCAGTAAGCTTAAAGCATCCACAAGTCATCACTTTCCACATTAGACAGTGCGGGTCTGTCCACAAAATGAGTCCCATCCACTTAGCTCATGAAATGTCGGCGAGGGTGTAAATCACATGCAGCATGATGGCGTTCACATTTACTCAACAAGACTCGAGCTGCAAAAAACAAGTGTGTCTGCTGTGGAAAGTCTGAAATTAGGCTAATTTTTTCATGATGATGCAAAATGAATAATGTGTAAATCTATTCTGAATCAAGTCTTGTGCTCAGTCTGGATGTTTGATCAAAAAGAATGATTATTTTTTCCTTATTTTGCCATTAGGCAAGAGGCCTTTACTCACTTCAGCTATACCATCCCCAGAGCAGCCTTAAACTTTGGATCAGTTTGGTTCTTTAGGCACTGACCCACATATAAACACCCATGCACATGACTTAAATCTGCAGCCATCTTTGTTTGCATTCTAAAGCTTTTGTGCGAAATTAAGATTCTTGCGTGAAGGACTAGAGTTGATTGGGCTCAAGCAGGACCTAGCTAGGGGAAGACAGCAAAGGTGGGGGGACAACAGAGTCCAGAGAAGTGAGTCACTATCCTTTAAAATGAGCCCATCCCAGGACAAGGGAATTGGGTGGGCAACAAAAGAGGGGGGGAAGATGGTGAACATATGAATGGGAAGATTTATAAGGCTGCCTGTTTTTTTTCTCTCTGTCTCTGGAGTGACATCACAGTGGGATCAGTGCCATCTCCCATCCTCCGGCAGAGGCTTAGTTCATTCATAAAGCCTAAAATCCAGACTCCACTCACAATGATGCAATGATAGAAACAGGGCAGGCAAGCAGACCTAACAAATAAAGGCAATATGCTTTCTATCATACCACTGAGCTAAAAATAGCCCCAGAGAGTTAACAAGTAGTGTGTATTTGGGCTCTTTAAGTAAAACAGTCAAAATGTCAGTGCAACTCACTGTCCAAACGTGAAGTAATTGATGTTTTTCTTGCTGTGCCCATCTGTAAAGTTGGGCCTCGTGTGAAAGTGTCTGTTTCCTGTGGGTAAGTTGCAACTTCCTGTGGGAAGTGAGGTAAAGTGTAGGTTAAGGTGAAGGTCATTTAATAGCCACTGCTAGGGTTTTCCTGAGTATCTCTGCATGCATGCAGGTAGAAAAAAAATTACAGGGTTCATGGTTAAAGACAAGGTTTAAAATTTAGCAATTGCTGTTTAAATGGACAAAGCGACCCACATCAGACCCGAGTAGAAAATGGGAGCAAAGAGAGTCTTTGATGAAGATCAATATCTAGACCTCTGGTCTGGGAATGCAATGTCATAAACTCAGCCAGTATGAAGAGGGTCCTTTCAGTACCACAGGGTGATAAAGTGGCTCCTGAGGGCTGCAGTCGAGAAAGAGGAGGACTACGAGGTTGCAGTCTGATTCTGAGAGGGCTGCTTGTTCAGTCAGGCAAGCTGTTCAGATTTCCATTTTCATGCCAAGAACCAGAAATAGAAGTGTAGGCAAGGTGATGAAGCAAAACCAGACCTAGACCAAAACATGCTGCAAAACAGAACAATGGTAGGCTAACTCAATCCAACTCCAAACCAGGAAAAATCCCACTATCACAGGCACTACTGCTGAAACACTCAATTTATTCTAATGTCTTCCAACCACTGGCTTCTGGCTGCCCTCCTAAAACACAAGCCTGTGGTGATGTCAGGCAGCTGTATGGGATAAGACCAGCAGTGCTCACATCTGTCTTTGGCTGTGAAAGTAGAGTTGCCCAGGACAATAGATACATAGACATAGAGGCTACTGAAGCAGACAACAAGTCAGACTAATACCCTATAGCTCTATGGCTGTCTGTTTTTCCTTGACTGCCTCCATTTCTAAAATCACATTAGCGTATGATGTAAAAGCACATTAACTGTGGTGTTTATCACAAAGTCTCAGCACTTGGTATGGCGTTGTGTTTGGAGTCATCACACTATATGCCGCAGGAGCTAATGGAAGTTGCTGTCAGCTGAGCAAGAGCAGCAGTGGCTTATTTGGCACCTTGACTCTTATTTAACTGCATTCAAGGTGTTAGCAATGTGAAAACAGATGGCTTTAGGTTTGAACAGCAGTTTTGTATCACAAACCATCACTGCACAACCCAGACATTTTCTATTATTTTTTCGACAAAAATAACTTAAAAGATCTGAAAACTGAATAAGCATGAAGGATATTCCTGGTCTGTAGCTAGGTAGTATAGAGAGGAGAAAAAAGTAACTGACAGGCAAACACAATACTGGGAAGTGTAGGTGGTACAAGGCAACGCTAATATCCCTCCCACCCGAAGTGTCCGTTCCTGGTATAAACAGACATGGGATGTTCTGGGGGAACTGTTTAGGCATTAAACCAAACACACGGCATATCTGACAAACAGTTTACTTTCTGTGTTTCATTTTTTCCACAAAACATGGTGCCTGGGCCATTCTTAGTCCAAACTGATGCATTCCACAACCAGGCCTCTGATACAAGTGTGAATTATGTGGGACAGCCTCATGGTCACATTGCCAGATCTCTCATAGCCGTACTTTGCTGCAACATGTATGTATGTTAGACGTCCCAGGGCTGGCTCTAATTACACATCACACACAAAAGAGACTGCTGCTTGAGAATAAGCAACCTGTGTTCCACAGATGA